TCATTTGGGTTTTCCCATAAGATGTTATGGGAAAACCCAAATGAACTCTTTGGCCAACCCAATATATAACAAAACAGGAACAGACTTACATATATAGAGAACAAACTAATGGTTACCAGTGGGAAGGGGAAAGAGGTATAGGGGTATCTCATGTATGCAAGGCTGGTTCACATTCAAAACTCAATTAACCAGTTTTCTTATCAGTAAAAAAAGGACAATTGGTAGCTTCCTTGCATACTTGGCAAAGCGGAAAGAACTGTGCAAAGTAAAAGCACTAGAGGAATTGAAGGTATATTTTAAATAAGCAAACTATAACTTAAACCAGTGAAATATATATTATAGATACAACCCCCAAATATCAGTTTTCTCTGTTAAGAACATTCCTTAGGAATTTATCCTAGGAAAACAAAGGAATATATAAAGATGTTCATTAGAGCATTACCAATGATGGTGAAATACTGGGAGTAACCTAAATGTCCAGCAATAGGGGATTGGGTAATTAGATTATACTATGAGTTTATTAAGGAATGCTATACTTCTAAGAAAATTCATGATATCTTGTTTAAAAAAAGTGCAGATTACAAAATGTGGTTATATGGCCCCACTTTTGGGTTATGGAAATATATATGTGTATATGAAAAATTGTATGTAGACAAAACATAAACAGTAATGATTTCTGAGTGGGTAGAGTATAGATAATTTGGGGTGATTTTTTGTGTTCTTACAGTTTTCTTTATGAAGAACATACAACTTTTTTTATTAGAAAGAAAAAAAATTAAGCCATCACATTAACAGGCTAAAGAAGAAAATATCACATGATCATATCAGTAGATGCAGAAAAACATTTTACAAAATCCATTACCCATATATACATTTAAAAAATTCAGTAAATGAGTGATGGAGGGGAACTTTCTCAACTTGACAGAAAATATCTATGAAAACCCCCCACAGCTAACTTCATTCTTAATGGTGAGAAACTTGAAGCTTTCTCACTAAGAACAGAAACCAGGCTAGGATATCCCCTCTCACCACTATTTCTCAACATTGTACTGGAAGACTTAGCTAACGCAATAAGACACAAAAAGGAATTGAAAGGTATACAGATTAGGAAGGAAGAACTAAAACTGCCTTTGTCTGTGGGTGACATGATTGTCTATAGAAAACCTGAGTAAATTAAAACAAAACTAGAACTAATAAGCTATTATAGTAAGGTTGCAGGATACAGGCTAATATACAAAAGTCAGTTGCTTTCCTGTATACAAGTAATGTAAAATGGAATTTAAAATTAAATACAAAATACCATTTATATTAGCACCCAACAAAAATGAAATACTTAGGTATAAATTGAACAAAATACTTAATAAGAGCTATATGAGGAGCACTACAAAGCTCTGATGAAGGATATCAAAGAAGAATTAAATAAATGGAGCAATATTCCATGTTAATGCATGGAAAGATTCAGTATTGTCAAGTTGGCAGTTCTTCCCAACTTTATCTAGAGATTCAATGCATTCCCAGTCAAAATCCCAGCAAGTTATTTTGTGGATATTGACAGACATATTGATTCAAAGTTTATATGAAAAGGGAAAAGACCCACAGTGGCCAACATGCTATTGAGCGAACAGAACAAAGTTAGAGGACAGACACTACCCAACTTCAAGAGTTACTACAAAGGTACAATAATCAGGAGAGTTTAGTATTGACAAAACTAGACAAATAGATCAATGGAACAGAAAAAAGAGCCCAGAAACAGGCCTGCATAAGTATAGTCAACTCATCTTTGACAAAGGAGTAGAGGCAGTACAATTTGGAATAGCCTTTTTAAAGAATGGTACTGAATAATTGGACATCCACAAGCAAAAACAATGAATCTAGACACAGACTTTATACCCTTCATAAAAATTAACTCAAAATGGATTGAAGACCGTAATGTAAAATGCAAAACTATAAAACTCATGGAAAATAACATAGGAAAACATCTCTAAAATGACCTTGGGTTTGGCAGTGACATTTTAGGTACAACAACAAAGGCAAGATCTATGAAAGAATAAGCTGGACCTAATTAATATTAAAAAAATTATGCTCTGCAAAAGACAGTATTAAGATACCAAATGACAAGCTGCTGAATGGGAGAAAATATTTGCAAAAGACATATACAGAGAATTCAAAATGCAACAATAAGAAAAACCAATTAAAACATGGGTCAGAGATCTGAACATACACTTTACTAAAGGAGATATACTGATGGCAGATAAGCACATGAAAAAATGCTCCACGTCATATGTTATCAAGAAAATGCAAATTAAAACAACAATAAGATACCACTATACACCTATTAGCATGGCCAGAATCCAGAACACTGACAATGCTAAATGCTGATGAGGATGTGAACAACAGGAGCTGATGTGAATGCAATTGCTAGTGAGATTGCATTGCTGATGGGATTGAAAGATAATATTGCTTCTTTGGAAGACAGTTGGGCATTTGGTGTTTTTTTCCAACACTAAACATACTCTTATAATATGATCCAGCAGATCACTCTCCTTGGTATTTACCTAAAAGAGTTGAAAACTCATATTCACACAAAAACCTGCATGTAAATTTTATGGCAGCTTTGTTCATAATTGCCAAAATTTGGAAGCAACCAAGATGTCCTTCCAAGTCTTGTTTATCCAAGTAGGTGAATGGATAAACTGTGGTACATCCAGACAGTGGAATATTATTTAGCACTAAAAAGAAATGAGCTATCACATCATGAAAAGACATGGAAGAACCTTAAATGTACATTACTAAGTGAAAGAATCTAATCTCACAAGCCTACGTACTGTATCATTCCAACTATAACATTTTGGAAGATGTAAAACTATGGAGGCAATAAAAAAGATCAGTAGCTTCCAAGGGTTGTGGGGAGAGAGAGACAAATAGACCACAGAGGATTTTGAGGGCAGTGAATCTCCTCTGTATGAAACTATAGTGGTGGATAGATGTCACTATACATTTGTTCAAACCTAGAGAATGTACACCATGAATGATCACTAATGTAAACAGTGGGCATTAGCTTATAATGATGTGTCATTGCAGGTTCCTGTGTAACGAATGTACCGCCGTGGTAGAGGATGTTGATAATGGAAGAGGCTGTGTGTGTGGCAGTGGTGAGGGGGTTATATGGGAAATCTCTGCTCAGTTCTGTGAATCTAAAATTGCTCTAAAAATCTATTAAAAATATAGGGGTTTCCAGCAGATAATATCTTCTCTAATGTATTTTTACATATGATTCCATTCCTAACCTTCCATGAATAGCCATTTTCTCCATAGAGCTTTTCTGTTTCATGTATAGAATGTTTTTTGATATGCCATCTATATATTTTCCCTATATTCCAATAATTTTTCCTTCTATATTTCTTTTCACTTCTGTACTTCTGCATTGGGGAAATTTTACTGTGGACATCATTTTAACTTTGTCTATTTTTTTCCTGAGATTAATATTTAGTATATTTTATACTCTTATTGACTCAAGGGTACATTTTATATTTTACTTGTAATTAACTACCATTACAAAATGGGAACTTACAGATGTGATAAACCAAGATATTCCTGAAATGTTTTTAAACATAATTTTATTTTCTGGCTGGAAATACAAAAATAGGTAGAAAATTTAAATGTAAAGTAAAAATTATCTGTGAGCTTATGTCTATTAGTATTTTAACAGTGTATTTGCTTTCCTCTCACAGTGTTGCAAGCACCAGTGACATTTTCCAGCACTGATTTTATATTTGAAATCCCATTACATACTATGGATCCTAATAAAAGTGTCACAAAAACTCAGGTGTGTATAGAGAATTGTTGCAATTTACATTTTTTTTCTGATTATGGTTTTCAGTTTATTAAGGTGATTATTCTGAAGGATGTGTTTTAAGAATACTTTCATTGTCGAGAACTTGCATATATATATATATGTATATATAGACCGTATTTCTCAGAAGTAATAATCAAAGTATACAAATGTATAAAGCCACTTATTTTATATATGTATATTTTAATAGGACTATTCAAAATATATTAAATTGAATGGTTATCCCTCTTTCTTTATACAAATGGAAGCTGTGATTAAAATTAACGTGAAATATGTTCCATACAGGTGAGGAAATGGGAGAGGCAATAATAAAAATTGAAAAAGTCCAGATATATAATACAGTCACTTCTATGATAATCTACTCTTTATTTCTTATCTTTCTGCCTCTCTTCTAATTATGAATCCATCTGGAAAGAAAAAAAAGAGAGACTTGCATAATAAAGAAGCTCAGGCATACATTGTAGAAATTTGTATTGGTAGTGCCCCTTTTTTTGTCTTTTATATCAGTTTTCCTGCATTCGTAAATACAGTCCCTTATATTGTAAGAGATACTTTGCTGATGTATAGTGTAATTAGAATAATGATCCTGAGCATGGGAAATTGTCTGAGATTATGTAGGTGGTCCCAGTCTAATCACATGAAGAGTTAAGAACAGAGAACTTTTCCTGACAGTGGTCAGAAGGATATGTGATGATAGAAGAGGGGTCAGAGAGATGTGATGTTGCTGGATTTGAAGATAGTGCAAGGAGGCCACCAGCTAAAGAATTTGTCTGAACTCTAGAAACTGAGACTGGCGAGGAAACAGATTCTTCTCTAGAACCTCCGGAAAGTATCACAGTTCTTTCTAACACCTTGGTTTTAGTCCAGTGATATCTGCATTGACCTTCTAATCTACAAGACTGTAATGAGATAAATTTGTTTTGTTTTAAACCACTAACTTTGTGGTAATTTGTTATGGCAGCAATAAAAATCCTAAAGTAAGCTATATCAGTATCACATTTAGAATAGGCTATAACTGTTAGAGAAAATTGAAATAAGAATTGGTTAAAATTGGTTGCTTCTGGGAAGCAGGACTGTTGATGAGGAGGAGCTGAGTGGGCCAACTTTTTTTTTTTTTTGGGGGGGGGGGGGGGG